TCTTCATGTTTTGGTGTGAAGCTTGAAGATCAAGTTGTTTACAAAGTGTTTGGGTGAAGAGCTCAAGTGTAGATCTACCAAAGCTACCTCATTTCTGGACCATTGTGAGTAAAAAGTTTCAATCTTGACTTTTAGTTTGATAGATCTAGATTATGGTTCATTTTTATGTTTTTGGTCCCATTTTGGTAGGTGAGCTTGGAGTTGAGATGACTCCAGCTCTTTCTAAGCACATACGATTGTCATTCAGACCTTTTCTAGTTGTAAAGTTGTTATATTGATCTTGTCCTTGGAGCCATGCATGTTTATGAAGTATTTATGTCATTTTGGACTTGGTAATCTTGATATGGGGAGTTTTGGTTGGTCTTAATGGATAAAGTTAGAAGCTTTGCTCCTTTAGACCTCATGAGAGTTCATATCTAGAAGATGGCAATCGACTTAACTAATTAAGTCATTTTACCCTTTGTATTAAGCCAAAGTGTTGGCCGTTTTTCTTGAGCGTGGGGCACTTCCTGACTTTTCTCAGATACGCCTGTTTTAAGCCTTAAGCCCGACTGTCTTATCCTCTAGCAAAGCGATGGGTGCTTCTTAAACGCACGATACACTTTTTGACCTAATGTTGACTTTTTGGCTCGATTTGACTTTAGGTCGACATTTGAGGTTGAGTCATTGACTGAGATTTTTGTGATATGGTTTAGGTGGTTAGTAGTACCAACCTTCCTGTTTTTGTAGCTGAGGTGATTGTCTGATCGACTGTGAGGTGAGTTTTCTCATTTACTTTGTACTACAGTGTGTATCTTTTGTGTGTTAGGATGTTGATATGTTATAGTGATTTGTTAGGCATGTACAATTGTTATGATTGCATGTGTTTTCTTGTTATTGTTATGTGTATATGTCAAATATTGTGGATGAGTTCAGGCGGTCCAACTGTGTGCTGAAGGCCAAGAGGCTCGGGCGGTCAATTTTATATTGTAAGCCCAAGGAGAGCGGTCCAACATAATGTTGAAGGCTCTGGAGAGCGATCCAACCTTATTTTTAGGCTCGGGAGAGCGGTCTAGTCATGTACTGTAGGCTCTGATGGCGGTCCATCCTTGGGTTGTAGGCTTGGTGTGCATGCATTGTATGTGTATTCATGTGTGGGGTATTTTGGGTAACTCACTAAGATTTGGCTTACAATTATTGATTTAAATGTTTCAGGTACTTCACATGATCAGGGGAAGATGAAGGTTTGATTGTACACTTCATCTAGTGGTTGACATGTTTTGAGAGATACTATGTTTTAATACTCTGATTTTTTATTATGTGGTTATGAAACAATATTTTTGTGACTTATGTTCTATGGAAAAATGGTTTATTCTTTTCTTGAAAATTAAAAAAATTACCATGGTTTTAGGATGCTACAATATTGTTAATAGTTTTACATTTTCCTAGCTGAGATCTTTGAACCAAACTTGAAGACAATGTTTTTGATGAAATGCTTAAGTAAATGAATAAATATGGAGTAACCATATTATGTTATATGAATATAATTGTGAATATGTTTTAATCTGATCAGATTTCTTGCCTTTATGGTTAGAGTGCTCGAAGTGGTGCGACAAGACATATGGGTTGCCTAAGGTGCCGACAATACTTGAACATCATTCCCACTCTCGTGGTACCATAAAAAATGTATGGTTTCTATGAGTTACTGAACCCTTCCAACCCTAAAATCTTATACATTGCTTAGTTGTAACTTGTACTTACATGGTTGTACTAAAGTGTGTGAGTTGATAAGGATGGATTTACAAGTGTCTATGAGTGGAAGGCTTGGACGCCTATGTGTCATGTGGGTTTGTAAGGGTGGGAGGGATGGGATCCATTAGACGAGAGAAGTCATTCAGTGTGTAAGACATGAGGTATACGACATGTTCACTGTCAATAGTTCCATACGAAAATCTCATCCTGAAGGAGTTAATGAAAGAACCACCATGAGCTTCTTTAATGGCATTAATGTCATTATATGCCCATCAATCCAATTTAATTAATCAATCGAAATCATTCATTTTATCAGAGTCCCTCAATGCTTATGATTTTGTATAAATTTGCGTCCGATTGTGATTATAATTGTGTTTTGAATTTATTATAGAAGGTTTTATACAAATTTGCACCAAACTTTAAAAAACATATATGTTTCTTTTCAAAGACCATAGACTTTTGGTTCATATCTTCTTTTGCAAATATTTTACCTTTTCAAAAAACCAAACAATGTTTTAGTTATTGTTTTCAATATCCATTCTATCAAAATTCAAAACCATAATGACTTAAAACGTTCAACCTTTTATTTCTACTTTTGATTTCGTATGATTTATTAAAATTTTAAAAACTATGAATCGTTGATCTCAATTTTTAGCCATAAGTTAAGGGTGTAATTTTATCTACCTTCCTCACTCACACAAAAAGTCAAACACACATACATAAAGGGAATACAGTAGTAATTGGGAATACGGTGAAAGTCACCCATATTTTACACTTTTTTATAATATTTAATTTGACACATGATTTAGTATTAAATCTATCTAATACTAAATCTTCTTTTTCGTAAGTTTAAGATCTTCCCGAAAATAATGCGTTTTTCAGATAATAAAAAATAAAAGATCACGTCATCGATTATCCATTGTGCCTAAAAAGGTTTTATAATTGTTAATCACATTTTGTACGGTTTAAACATTTAAAGAAAGAAAAACCTAAAACCATTGTATTTCGTTTATTGCAAGTAAAGGTTATTGCCCTCCAATAAAATGCAAACCATTTTTATTTGTTCATCGATAATAGTTATAAAATATAAGTACTTATAATTAAGGGATTTATTGTAATATAGTTATAATCTAGTATTTTAATATGTTCAACCTACTTATCATATTCACCTAGAAATTAGAAAGATGAGCTTAAACTCGAGCACATCTCAGCTTGTTTCAAAAGGGGAATATGACTTATTAAGGTAATTAACTTTTCGGTAAATTCATATCTGGGTAATTATCTTTTTTTTGTACACATCTAGGTAACAAACTTGTTGGAAGTGTTCACATATGACCATTATGACCTGCTATAGCAGGTTAAATCCTAGATGTGAACGCTTTCAACAAGTTCGTTACCTAGATGTGTACAAAAAAATAGTTACTCAAATATGAACAAAACGAAAAGTAAAAATTAAATTACACGAATGGTCCCTGTGGTTGGGGGAATTTGTGTTTTGGGTCCCTAACTTATTTTTTTAACTTGGATGGTCCCTATTGTTTATTTTTGTTGCGCGTTTAGTCACTATCTTACCTAAAAAGACTATTGTGCCCTTATTAATTTATTTTTTAATTAATTTTCTTATTTATGCATTTATTTGTTACATATTTAAAAAAATTAATAGACCCCACATATTTGTATCTCTTCGGATGATCCTTACTGTTTATTTTTTAATTAATTTATTTTTTTAACTCGGATGGTCCCTACTGTTTATTTTTGTTACGCGTTTGGTCCCTGTCTTACCTAAAAAGACTATCAAACGGCCCCTAAGATTACCTAAAAGTAAAAATTAAATTACACGAATGATATGTGGGGTATATTAATTTTTTAAATATATAAAAAATAGATACATAAATAAGAAAATTATTTAAAAAATAAATTAATAAGGGCAAAATAGTCTTTTTAGGTAAGACAGGGACCAAACGCGCAACAAAAATAAACAGTAGAGACCATCCAAGTTAACAAAATAAGTTAGGGACAAAAACACAAATTCCCCCGAACCACAGGGACCATTCGTGTAATTTAATTTTTACTTTTCGTTTTGTTCATATTTGGGTAACTATTTTTTTTTGTACACATCTAGGTAACGAACTTGTTGAAAGCGTTCACATCTAGGATTTTACCTGCTATAGCAGGTCATAATGGTCATATGTGAACACTTCCAATAAGTTTGTTACCTAGATGTGTACAAAAAAAAGATAGTTACCTAGATTTGAACATACCGAAAAGTTAATTAATATTTTCTTTCAAAATTAATTGCATCTTTGAATTTGGTTGTGTCGAGCCGAGCCGAGCCCACAAGACTTGAATATTTACCCCTGAACTTCCATTAAATTACGTTTACACCCTCACCTCCTCACGTATATACCCCCACCTCCACCCCGATTCTGCCACTTCTGTTTTCCCCTTTTCTTTTGTGCGTGTTGGTTCGTTTCCGCGGTGGTGCTGCTCCTCCAAACCTCGTTGAAGGCGGAGGCGGAGGAGGAGGAGGATATATACTGAGATAAACATAAGGAATCGAAAGATACAGAGCCCATGGGATTCCGATGAAGAAACAAGTGTATAAACAATAACGATAAAATACAAAGCTTACTGTTCAATTCATCTTTTTACTTTCTTCTTTTTCATTCCACATTTTAATATTTTGATTTTTACTTTTGCTTATACATCATTGCATTGCATCGGATGATTATCGGAAGATGATTGTTGACGCTAACATGTAATTATCCCCAACGTAGTTGTATTCATTGCCGACCACCTATCATTTCGTATTATTCATCTCGGCTCCAATACTTTACATAATCAAGTCAATTCAGATCCTTCCTTGAACCTTTTTCCATTATCAATTTCACTACACTTTGCTTCAAACTGGATGCCGATCTAATCCTTTATTGCCTTCCCGTGTATTTATTCATCTATCTGTGGATGTTCTATGTGTAATCATCTCCGTTTTCGTGGAATCGATATTGATTGCAGCTACATTTGTTTATATTCATCGCCCTTTTGACTTTAAATGTTTTTCTCTTCTTCATTATCACTTTAATACCATCGCCGCATGATCTGTAGATTTTGATTTCACCGTATTGTCTACATGTAGGCTGGAAAAACTTATAGATGCCTTTGCTTAATTTCAGGCATGGACATTGGTTAGGCTGCACCCTTTGAGTACGGATGCATATCCATTTTGTACGTAAAGGTCTTGACATATCCATCCGCGTTTGAGAACCATCATGAGCTCAGCAGTAAAGAGAAAGGGATTCGTTGATTAATTGCAGAGGCTAGGTTTTGCTTTTGGTTTAATGTTTTGATCGAACCACTAATACTCATAGGATAGTTACTTAGCTGTATACAGTAGTTTGATAGAAGAACAAGGTATATAGCCCCCAAATAAGAGAAGAGATTGCTAAGAATAACTTATGGGATTGCCACAAGATCCTTACATTGCAACTTCTGAGGTTGCAGGGATATCAAGCACCTTGGAGCGCAGTTTGCCTGTAATTGATGAGGAGACTTGTAACTTGAATGAGATGAAAGCAGAAAATACAAGAAGAGAAAGCGTTGGATGTTCCCTTGATTCTTTATTTGGTGATTGTGTTGTTAAAACCTCATTGGACAAATTTCAATTTCCAGATGCTGTAAGTAAAGAGTCCACTGATGTCAAAGGGACAAGAATTGGTTCAAAGAATAAGCTTGATTTGTCAACACCCAAATCTGCACAAACTGTTACAACTTCGTTTTCAAGAATTGTGGGATTTGAATCTGGTAAAAAGGATTCATCCTCAGATGCACTTGATGGAGCTTCAACCAGACAGGTATATGAAAAAGTAACTGCTGTGCCTATGGCCAGGAAAAGGATGTTGTCACCACTGAACAATATGCTTTCTTCTCAACCATCTGACAATGGTGACATAGATATAGCCTCCTGCAACAATCACCAAGTTTCTGGTAATGTTAAAGCTGATGATCACAAGATCAAGCTTTACAAGAAAGCAAATACCTCTAATCTTGTATGGCCTGTATCCGATGGGCCAGTTCTTGATGCAAATGAAGTGCCATTCTTTCCACCTGGATTTAAGGATTTTAAAGACTCAAGCAAGCAAAGATTGCAGACCAGGCCTATCCCAATATCCACAGATAAGTTGACCTTGTTGACCTGTTCTTCTTCATCTCCCCTTGGTCCAAGATCTTCCAATGAAAGAAAACATTCATCATCCAACAATGTGGAGAATCCAGATGGAGAAACAATAATCTCAGGTACCATATTTGCATCAAGCGAAGTGGATTACAGGATGCCAAGCAATTCACTTGAAGAAATCAGCTATTTATGTGAGGAAATTGGATCATCATGTTCTCCTAAAAGTTACACAGGAAAGAGCTGGCCTTTCCACAAACACAAAGAGTTAGGATTTCGGAAGTTAAGGCAGAAATCAAGGGGTCTTCCTGTTAGGAGATCATTAGTTGGTTCTTTTGAAGAATCACTGTTATCTGGCCGACTCTCATCAGGAGACATTAACAAGGTTAGGATCATTTCTTCTCTTACAAAATAGGAAGTTTCTTTCATTCCGTTAGGGTTTATCTCTAACACATTCTGCACATCACATTCATGTGCAGAAAATCGATGGTTTTCTAGCTGTTCTAAGTGTAAATGGGGGAAACTTCTCACCAAAAGCACGCAAACTTCTCTTTGCAGTTACCAGTGTTGATGGAGATAGTTACTTACTGTACCATGCTTCAATAGATCTTGCAGGAAACAACTTATCAAGTAGCATTCTTCACAATGATGATTCTCAAAATGCTAAAAGCCGTTTGCGCATTCCAATGAAAGGTCGCATACAACTGGTATATGATATGATATGTTCTTTAAATTTTAATTCAATTTGAAATTAGACTCTTATGATTGGATTCAACTCTTGCAGGTTTTAAGCAATCCAGAGAAGACACCTCTTCATACTTTCTTCTGTAATTATGATTTGAGCGACATGCCAGCTGGCACAAAGGCAAGTTATTATATCTATTAATAACATGAAAATTAAATTCAGAATGGAATGGACTTTATGAAATTTATTTTGTGGATTTGAAAATGTAGACATTCCTACGACATAAGGTCACCCTTGCAACTTCCAGACAGGGCACAGAAGTGTGCAATGGTGATGGTTGCCAGGTGGATGGTGACATGGCGTCCAGTGTATGTTCTTCAAGGGTGAATGGAAATGCTGCCATTGTTGGTGCTCTACGCTATGCTCTTCATCTTCGTTTTCTATGTCCCCATAGAAAATGCTCAAGATATGAAAAGAATAAGTTAGATAATGATCATTTGGAGCGTAAGTTTTTCTTGTGCAGTGATTTGAAGGTGGTGTTCCCACAACGCCATTCAGATGATGATGAAGGGAAGGTATGTATGTTCATATTGTGTGTATGGTTCTCATTGTTAATTGGGTGTAAATCAAGAAGTAATGTGGATTTATTGGCTGTTGTTAATGACAGTTAATTGTGGAATATCATTTTCCAGAAGATCCAAAGTACTTTGATATCGGGTGATGACACCGTATATGTTGTTGTGTAGGTTTGTTTTTATAGAGGATATGTGTACATGGGGTTGGTGAATTTTGATTTATATATATATGGATGTTGATTACTTATGTTGTGGTTGTCTCATTTGTGATGTAGGTGAGGCACCATATAATATATTATACACATATACATATATATAGGAGTTAGAAAATAAATGTGAAGGACTGTTTGTATATGCTATTTACCAGTAGATAGATCGATATGGTAAATTAGAAATATGATTCCTCTGATTTTTGGTTTACTTTAATGTAAAAGCATTTGTGTTCTTTTGTTTTATGATGTTGAGTTTAGACATTACAATTCATGTAGAATGTTGTTTTTCACATGGTAATGTAAAAAAGAGGTATGGGAAGGTAAATCATATTTATGTGGGAACTACATAGAATATGTATGGTAAGTGCATACTAGTTGATGGTTAGATTGTTATGAGTAGGTTTGGAAAGGAAGTGGATACACTTTAAAAAGAGTTCACTCACTTTTAGAATGATTAGTACGGGGTGGAAAATGGACATGTAAATCGTGTCAATGTAGCATGAAGTGGGTTGTACTATTGAAAATGGTATGGTCTTGAAGGGGATATGATTCGGCTATATCCTTGATTGTATGGTTGTGCAAACCGTAGTACACTCATACATGATGTGTACAGTTTGTAATATATCTATATAACCCATACGAGAGTAATGTAACTCTGGTCTATGTCAAAACATGGTACAAGACATGTCTTGATAGAGAGAGTACATAGCCGGTTTGCCCATGGGTCGTATGACTGTAGCCGGGAGTTATGTAGACTGTACGTGGGGTAAAGTGTACGGTCTTGAAGAGGTTAGATACGTATCAAAGTTGTCAAGATCGGGATCCTACGTAGGATCGTTTTTGGGTTTGCAAGATCGGGATCGTAAGATTGAGATCGGGATCCTAAGATCCCACAAAATAAAATATAATTTTAATTTATAATTTTTAATCATGAAAAATATTTCAAACATTCAATTTTCTGTTCAAAAGTTATTAAAACTTCAAAATATTAGTCATAAGTCACAACATAAAATGATAAACGATAAATTAGTAAAGTGTAAAAGACATAAAGTGGTAAAAATAATAATAATAATAATAATAATAAATAATAAAATAAGGGAAAGTAGGATCGGATTGCGATCCTACGATTCTACCTACGATCTTACGATCCTACCCCAAATACGATCCGGATCGTTTTTCATACCTATGACCGTAGGATCGTACGATCAGGATCGCGATTTTGACAACCATGATACTTATATATGGGTGTTCATATAGTATGCAAAGGAATTTATGGGTTTTCCGTTTGAAAATTATACAATCATACAATAAAATGGTAAAGTTGTATAAATATTGTTGAACTACTATTGACCAAGTGTTTGATTGATAAATTAAAAGAGGAAATAAGTCATTTTTCACCCATTTCAGTTCTAGAGATGTATGTGTTCAAGGTACAACGTTGGAGTGTTTTGGGATGCATAGAATATCAAAAGGATGAGATTAAACAAAAGTTTGTAGGGAGAATCATCATCAAGGAAAGACCATCTTATCATCTTCTTGATTGTGTCATTCCTAAGATTTTGGCACATTTAGAGGAATTTGAGAAAAGAGCCAAATTTTGAGAAATCTTGCTTCTAACCTAAGATTACGAGTTATTAATCACTAGTAGTGAGAATAATAAAGTTAATAAGACCCTTAAAAGCCTTTGCATTAAAATGTATATGGGGTGGAAGCCTTGGAGACCTCAAGGTTAATTACACTTGCCTATCGTGAGATTCAACTTAATATGATAAGTTGAAGGAGATAAGCTTATGTATAATCCAAAGATGAAAGTCATCATAGGATGAGAAGCTAATTTGTTAATATGATGACTTGAGTTAAGTCATCTAAAGGAAGAAATTGTGTCTAAATGGCATAATGGTAGATATATCATATCAGGCAATCGTATCATGTTTTTTTGTGACATAATAGACGTGACTTGATGTGTTTTTTACTAACATAAAAAAAGACCCAATTAAAACACGACAAAGATAATATGAAATAACATTTAGTTTAATTTAATCATACAAAACACGACAAACATATGTTAATATCGTGTCAATTTCTTGTCAAAATTTTCACATTAACACGACATAACACAATTTCGTGTTTTTTTAAACTAGACATGAAACGAATTCGAATTTCAATTTCATCTTCGTGTTGTATTTTTTCCGTGTCGTATCATCAATTGACACCCCTATATAATTGTGTTGAATATGGTAAGTGAAGTATGTACTTGATGTTTTAGGGACAAATATATCAAACAATAAGGTGCAAAAGCAAAATCAACGTCCCTTACTGTTGGATATAGTGTCTAAGTCCATAACTATATTTGGTATGTACTTGACCCGACCCGGCATGGTCCATTTGGGTTGCACTTCACCCAAAACAATTTATGAATAATCGTTTGAGAATAGTATAAGTTATGATTTATTAATATATTATAAGTCCTAATATATTAATATAAAATCATATTATTTAATTAGTATTGATATATAATTAATCTAGAATTAATTTAGAGATCAAAAGTATGACTAATTAAATATGGGCTCTTGTATTTATATAGTGTGGGCTAATGCTTATTTGGAATGGGCTATGCTTGCATGGAAAGTCCATGGATACTCCATGGAGCTTTAACCCATGGATCTCATGGAAATGAAAAGACATGGGTATTAGGGTTTACATGAATGTAACCCTAATCCACCACACTATATAAAGGAGGCTTTGGTTCTTGAAATCACACTAGTTGTGGTGAGTAAAGTAAGAGGGCCGATTTCAAGAAAGGTGATTACTATTCTCTCAAAATTCCAAGTTTGTGGTGATTTGTGATTTCCATTTGAGGCATCCACACTATTGGTGCTAGGCTCTAAAACTCCAAGCAATCAACTACAACTACAAGGTAAGTAATTCTACTAGCTTTATTTGATTCAAGTTCCCCATGCCATGCTAGATAGGATAAGAACCTTGGAAAAATAATTATTTGCATGTATCTTAGTCAAACATAGATCCACGGTTTCTAGGGTTGCATGTACACCATAGGAGTGTTAGAATGCTCTGAAATCACATCAGTGGTATCAGAGACTGGTTTGTTTGTTTGATACTTGATGCAAAAAAAAAAAAAAAAAAAAAAAACTTGAAAATCGAAGTTTTGTTCAAAACTCGTATCAAAATTTCAAGTTTTGTATATGTACTTACGATTCTTGAAATTTTTGATATGAACATTCATAAACATATGAGTTTAGAAGATCATAGAAATTATGTGCTAATAATTGATTAGATTAATTCTTGATCTTTATGTGTTTTAATGGAGTCCATAACTAGTTCTTAAGTTATGGATAACCAAAAGTCACATTTATAAATAACCATTAAAAGAACACATAGGTTACAAAAAATGAAGAGTCTTCATTTTTAATAACCATTAACTCATAAGTTATGAGAAATGAAAAGTTTTGAAAGTTTACAAAACTTGCCCTCAAGTTTTGGAACATGTAAAGTCATATTAAAAACTTTAGTTCCAACCCCTAGAATTTTAAAAGTTAAAATTCAACCCTTATACTTTATAATATTATAAGTTTAATAATATTTATATATGTATAAGATCAAGTCGTCTTACCGCTAGTACGCCTCATTCACGAAGCCGGTCTATAAGGGGGGTATAAGGTTGTTGCCTATAAAATGGCAACTTAATGGGTGTCCACTCTCACCCACCGCTTCCTTGATCGGTGGAGGGTCGTTAGCCGAACGGGTAGGACAAGGACTTATAAATTCTCATTAAAAGTATAATGATAATACTAAAGTAACTAAACTTTATTGAATTCCCAATCTTAGTTATTTTAGGAAAATGTGAATAAGGTGCTAATCCATGAAATTACACTTTACACTTTGTTTAAGTCGTTAGTGGAGCGTGTGTGGTTAACCGGCACACTAACTTGAACTTAACAAGGTAGGTAAAGGGTGACTTAATGTTTATCATAGTATCGATGGAGCGTGTGTGGTTAACCGGCACATCGATTGAGGGGTAATACATTAAGGGTACCAAGTAATTTGCATGGTTACTTCACACCTTGTTTTGTGATCCTCGGCATCCCAGTCACAAAACTTGAAGGGCACACTCGAGATTGAAACATGCCATTGAAGAAAGTTCAATGAATCTCAAAGAATCTAGGAGTTTCTAAACCAATTAAAACCTAATTAAATATTTTGTTTTTCATGGTGGAAATTGGTGAATCGTCATTCACCTACCTTCAAATATCTTATAGCTTAGATTACGGCATCCCTCTTCTAAGTTATAAAATATTGTGTTGGGTCCTAGCCTTAATATTACATTTGGGTGTTTTGTTAAGGACTATCTCTATATCTAATCTAATCTATTCCCTCTTCTTTTCAGATGTCTTCCAATAACAATGCTTCTGGCTCAAACCCTACTAGCTCCTTCTCTCTCATGAATCTTTGTGGGAGAGTCATCTTTGATGGGTCCAACTTTACAGATTGGATCAGAAACATCAGGATGGTCACTCGGTATGAGAACAAAGAATATGTTCTCGACAAGGAGCTGAAGGTACCCGAGCCAACTGCTACTCCTGAAGAGCTTGCTGAATATGAGGTACATGAAAGAGATGCTACAAAAGTGGCATGCATCATGATGGCCACCATGACAGCCGAGCTCCAAAAGTCCTATGAGGACTATTATCCTTTTGAGATGCACCAGGACTTGATGGACCGCTACCATCAAAGTGCTCGTCAAGAGCGATATGAAATAATCTCCTCCATGATAACAACCCGAATGAAGGATGGTGAACCCATCACGGGCCACATGCAGAAAATGCAAAGGTATGTGGACCGTTTACTGAAGCTGAATGTGAACTTCCCTGAGGAGTTAGCAATAGACATCATTTTGCACTCCTTGCCATCGTGTTATGATCAATTCCGCATGACATATCACATGAACAAGGAAGAAGTCACCCTCAGCAAACTTCAAGGACTCTTGAAGACCGCCGAAAGTGGTCTAAAGGGTAAGTCGGTTGTTACTACTCCTACTCCTACTCCAACTGCGGCCAATGTCTTGGCAATCGGGCATGGCAAAGGGAAGAAGAGAAAGAACCCTTCTAAGGGTACCAAGGGT